AGGGAAAATGTGGCACATATACACCATGGAATATTATGCAGCCATCAAAAATGATGAGTTCATGTCCTTTGTAGGGACATGGATGAACCTGGAAACCATCATTCTCAGCAAACCGAAACAAGAACAGAAAATCAAACACCGCATGTTCTCACTCATAGGCAGGTGTTGAACAATGAGAACACATGGACACAGGGAGGGGAGCATCACACACTGGGGTCTGTTGGGGCGAAATAGGGGAGGGACAGTAGGAGGTAGGGAGTTGGGGAGAGATAGCATGGGGGGAAATGCCAGATATAGGTGATGGGGAGGAAGGCAGCAAATCACACTGTCATGTGTGTACCTATGCAACAATCTTGCATTTTCTTCACATGTACCCCCAAACCTAAAATGCAATTAAAAAATAAAAAAATAAAAATAATTAAAAAAATGAACTGGAGATTCTCCAAATATGCCAGAACTTCTTTCGCAAGGCAACTGAACCCGTTTACAACTAAGGCATAAGGATTAGAATTATCTGGGGTTTTTTTTTTTGTACATTTTAAATTTTACTACTCTCCCCTTCATTTTAAATATACATATATTTTTGGTATAAATTTCATCTGTGCCCATTAACTCCTTTGATTTAAAGAAATACTTTGAAAATACTCCATGGTTTATTGTAAAATGGGTTCTAAAATATAAATGAAGTTTCTATACAATGCTATGCAGGGAACTTTTGTAAAACTTCAATGAATGCAGTAAGACTGATAACAGTCTTAAAACTGGGACTTTATTAACCTCTCTTTTGAGAAAATGTATTTATTTAAGGTGAGTAATGCCTACAATAACAATGTATAGAATTTTCAACATTCTGTACTATGGTTCTCCCCAAGCATGGGTTTCATGGGACATTAAAAAGGGTTTGGGTCCACTCTGTTTGAGCAGCAGAGTGTTAAAGCAACATGTTTCTTTACTTAAGGACTTCACAGAGCTTTGATCCTTCTAAGTGTCTCCTTGTTAAAGTTTCCTAGTATACAATATGTAACATTCCTAAACTAACACCACTTCAGAGCCTCTTTCTTGAAGAATATTTCACAGTTTGTATTCTACAGAAAGCACTTTGGGAAGAGCTGTGTTATAGACATGTCTTGACTTAATGAATCATGTTTAACAAAAGGGTTACCAGTTCAGAGTCAAATAATCAGCTTCCATTATGAGTTTTAAAGGATTTTCAACTTACTTTCAGTGAGTAAATTTTAATTTTTTTTTCAGAAACATACATATTGGTAAATTTTTTTCTTAAAATTAAAGGATCTTCACAAACTGAACCATGACCACCAAGGCGGCGACCCACCATTCCCTTTGCCACCAGCTTGGTCCTCCTGGACAGGCCTAAGCTGCCGTGGGAAAGGGGGTAACTCTGGTGGGGTTTACAGCCTTGGACCCAAAGGGCAGCTCACTCTCTGACCCAGCCTTTTCTCCACTCCCCACAGTCTAAACCTAGGCTAGACACAACTCCATTATCTTGCTGTACAGCAGCTTCTTTTTTGCATAGACATCTATATCCTTTTTTTTTTTTTTTTTTGAGACGGAGTTTCGCTCTTGTTACCCAGGCTGGAGTGCAATGGCACGATCTCGGCTCACCGCAACCTCTGCCTCCTGGGTTCAGGCAATTCTCCTGCCTCGGCCTCCGGACTAGCTGGGATTACAGGCACGCGCCACCATGCTCAGCTAATTTTTTGCACCATTAGTAGAGAGGGGGTTTCACCATGTTGACCAGGATGGTCTCGATCTCTTGACCTCGTGATCCACCCGCCTCAGCCTCCCAAAGTGCTGGGATTACAGGCTTGAGCCACCGCGCCCGGCCACATCTATATCCTTTTTAACATTCTTCCTGCTCCTTCACACCTTTGCTCAATTGTTTCAGGAAACTTCTGTTTATTCTTTCTCTCTTTTTTTGAAACCTAAGCCCTAAATCATGTCTGAAAAGTATACAAGTTCTACTGGTTAAATGGCTATTAAGAAAATGAGAAGCCATCCATTTTTGGTGAAAAAGCCAGCCAAGCCAGTGCCACCAAGCAGGGGATCCCTTCATGGTTCTCAACGATGCTTTGAAAAACTCAGGAAGTTTCTTATTTCTTCTTGCTTAAATTACTTTTTATTAAGAAATTATTTGTTACTATGGTTTTATATTTTTTTCATTATATATGTATATCTTATTAGTGATACTGTAAAATAAATGAGTTTTTAATCAACTTTCTCAGGAACCTGAAGATATGCAGATCATTATGTCCATAGGAAAATGGGAGCCCCAAGTGCCCTGAAAATGAACCTGTAGAGTGTGGCACATTTCCAAAGTGTGGGAGTATCACAGATCAGGAAATCCCCCTTGACTTCATTCTTTCCTATCATGCTTGATTTCTGGGCAGGAACAATAAACTGTACCTTATATTTCATGGCCATTTTTCCTCAAAACCTCCCCATTTCTCCACAGAAAGTGGATGGACTAAATATAGGTCAGTTGGAAACAGGATTCACTAAAGCATCATACACTGACCTTAACTGCAAGCGGCATCAGGGCCATCTTTTATTAATAACTATAATGTAATATATATGCTTTCTATGCAAACAGTCAATACTAAAAAGATTTGGCATCTTTATAAAGGACAAGAAAGGTTATTCGGCATCAGAACGGTCTCCTCACGCAACTGCACACAGGCTCTAGAGGTGCTTTCCGGTCACAACTCCTGGCCAATGGCATCCAGGCCTCTCACAATTACAGTTGGGCAATGACATGGGAAAATCAGTTTGGCTTAGTGTCCGTTACCTTGTCAGATAGGGAAAAAAATTATATCAACAAAATAAATGGTAGCAGCAAGGATTCATTTCCAAGTCTTTAAAGCTTGCCACAGTCTTCAGGGGCTACCTCCCGTGCCGCAGTGGGGACAGCTGTCCTGTGATCACTAACAGCGGGGAGGGGACGGCTCCCCCTACCACCAAGACCAGGCAGAACAAAGAGAGTGCAGACAGGCGAGATGGCTCCAAGTGTTATAGCTGCACTTTCTACCCAGTGCCTGGCCACCACAAAAGCGCTTCTGTAGGGTCAGCCATGAACGTTTAGTCACTATTTCAAAGTCTCAGCATCTCGAGCAGATGATCGTGATATGCATTATCTGGGAAACGAGGCTGGTGTGACTACGGCTGTAATTAATGACACCTGCCATACATAATGCTGAAATGTTTGCAAAGGCATACATTTAGAAATTACTGAATTGAACTAAAATGTAAAAGGCCAAAGGACTCTTCAACCGATAGGTAACAAAAATCACTCAAAAACAAAGAATGTTTATTACTCAGGTATCATTTGACATTTTAGGGAGTATAGTAACATTTTATTCACTTACAAACTGATCAGTTTCTTGAACAATACCTCTTAAAACATAAAACCGATCTTAAGAAATAAAGTTAGGTCTCTTATAGGATGTGTAATTTCCTCATTATGATGGAATGCAACAAAATATCTTGCCCTTGGGTTGCTCAGTTTCAGCCAAAGCAAATGCAAATGGCGTGTCAGATGACAGCTGTTTGATAAGGCTCCTCTACAAGACCTGCATGCTTTACTTTTTTCCGTGAAACTTGGGATGAAAGGCAGAAGGCAGGAAGAGAATTAATGTAGCATACAGTCTAAAGGCAATGCTACAACCGTGATTAAGTAGAAAAGTTAAAAGGCACAGATTTTCCACAGCTTCGCTGCGTGCAACCCATCCGTGTAACAAGTTGACAGGCCTAGCGCGTCAGCTCCATCATCCCCTCCGACAGCTAAAACGCAGCACTGCATCCCTTTTCAGAGAAAATTTGCGTCTGCACCATGAAGCGTTGTACATTATTTCTTAGCACTGCAGGGGGCTCAAGTCCATATGGAACCTTCACAAATATTACCACAGATCAAACTGGCGGCGTTTGGAGGCAGATTTGACATACCTATTTAAATGAACAGCAGGGGTCCCCGGGCAGCCTCGGGCTGCGCGGGAGAGAACCTCCACGGAGCCGGAGCCGCAGCTCCATTACTCAGCAAAGACACACTCTACATTTATCATTCATTTCATTTCTGCCAGGGCAAGAAGCTCATTTGCCCAAGGTCAACAAAAAGCGAAAAGAAGGTTTTCTTTTTTTTCCCCAAGAAATAAATGTACCTGACAAGTGGGAATTTTGTCCTTTGGGTTTGTGGAACACAAACAAACAGCAGATAATTCTAAAAAGCAGAGTAAATGCGTGCACTGATTCAAGCCACTGCAATCTGATTGCAGATGGGGGACGCCCAGTAAATATTTCTGAAACTTTAAAAAATCATATAATGAGTAAAATAGAGCTGGATATTATGTTCTAAAAATAAAAACAGGGTACTGGCATCCAGCCATTTTTTCCATAGCAATTCTGGGAAACTCTTCGAAATTTGCACACTATCAGATATTTATAGCTCTGAAAACAAAACAAAAATTGTTCACAGTATAAAAAATGCAGTTGGAAGTCAAACTGTAATAAAATCATTTCTTAGGTTGTTTTGGGACCCAACTTCTAGGCTCATATACTGCGTTAACCTATGAAAGGCAAAAATTGTACATAAATAAGAAAAAATGAATGAGAAATAACCATTTGAATCTTTTTCAAGGCAAATGTCTCACAGACCCTGACAGCATCACGCACATGGCCTCCTCCTTCCTCACCCTGGAAGCACATGCACATACTGTAATTGAGCTGAACATCTATCTTCGAACACGATTTCAATTTGTAAGTAAAGCATTTAAAGACAAACTATTCTGATGTAAATTCTATACAGTCTACTTTTAGCAAAAATGAATAAAATATAAATCATTTCAGCAACACATTGTCTTACCTCTAGAAGTCTAATTTTTGTCCATTACAAAATACTAGGTAAATTCTGAAGCTGAGAACAGTATGTAGTATAATTAGTTTCGTAGCTTACAACTCCTATTATTTACCATTAAATGCAATATACTTACATGCATTAATGAATAGTATGACTGTTTGCCAGTATAGAAGAGATAGTGAAATGGACGGCCATCTTCTCCCCACTGGATTGCTGATAAAAAAGCCAGATGAAAACAAATAAAAATGTACACAGAGACAGACCAAACAGTTGCATTTAACCACAGTTATGAGACACATTTATAATGAACAAAAAATACAAAAAAATCACCAACATTTAGAATTTTACTATTCAGTTTAGCATTATTTATATGCAAATATTTAGGATATTTAATATTTCATATTCATTAACATAAAACAATGTTTACATTTAATTTAAAAATTATTAAATACTTCTGTAATTTGTTTCAAATAAAAGCTCATAAAATAGCCAAAATCAACTTGTTAGAATAAAAAAAATTGGGTCTGGCTATAAACATAATGTCCTCCCAGATTCTTAAAAGGGAAAATTGATAAAAAGTAAAAATGTATTACATTCAGAGAATCTAAAACAGGCAAACAAAGAAGAAAACTCAAGAATGTATTTTTCAGTGCATCATTTGTTTCAACACTGTGGTCATCTACCTCCCAGAGTTGAAACATCTGTAACAGAAGGGCCTCGAAAAGGTGTTGGGTAAAATTGCTTCTGAAATACAGAAGGCCATTCACATCTAACCACCACCAAGCAAACAGAGAAGTGGTGTTACTCTAGGAAACAAGACAAATGCTAACTCTGTGTCCTTTGCTCATAGGATCTCTGTTGAGTTGTTTCTCTGGCAACTATTTGTAGGAATTCCTATACATTAAAGATTATACTCCTTGGTCCATTACAGAAGTTGTACAGTATTTTTTCCCAGGCGGTCACTTGTCTTTTACTTTTACTTACGTTATCTTTCATAATTGAGAAGTTTAAAATATGTAAATAGTCGAATCTGTCACTTTTTCTCTATGGCGGCATGATTTAACTGTTTTTTCATGATTCATTCCACAAAGGAATCCTTTGTAGGCATTTTCTCCCTAACTGCCCCCCACCCCATGAAATGTTAGTATTACAGATACACTACACATCTGCTGATGTATACTGTGGCCCACTGAAGGACCACAAACCATTGTAACAGCTAGGTTTACCCACTCCCACCTTGAACCAATCTTTGCCCCCATGAAGGAAACATGCTTTAAGGCTTAGGGCTTTCTAAAACTATTTTCCTGTATTTCTTCTGGAAGTTTTATTTATTTTCATGTTCAAATATTTAATCTATCTGGAATTTATGTTTGTGAGGCAGAAATGTAAGAACTATTTTGTCCAGCAAAGAGTCATTATCCCTCTACAGTTTTTTTAATAGTATATGCTTTTCCACTGAAATACCATCTGTATTGTATGTAGGATATCTTTCCTCTGAAACAAAGACCAACATTTACTAATAAATGCTGAAAAGAAAGTCTTGCTTGGGTATTTAGCTTGAAAAACCAAATTCTTATTTGCCAGTGGCTTATGGATGATTTCAGTACTTTTCCAAAATCATTGTCATAGACTTCATGAATCAAATCCAGCATAATTTCTAATATTTTTCCTTTCTTATGCAATTGATTTTCACTGTATTGTTAGTCTGTCAGGTAATCTCTGCCCTGCAAGGCTTTTCCCCCTTGCAAGCTCCCATCTGCAAAGACCCTCCAGGATCTTGTGAGCTAAGGTCACCTCCCTTTCTCAGAGATATTGCATAAGCCCTCTTTACAGAACCCTCATGCAAACTCTGGGGTTGAGAAGGCATTCGTGGGACCAAAGCAGTATTTCCTGCTCTGCAACCACCCAGCTGTGTTCCACGGTTTTACAGCACTCTCAGATGGTCTTTACCTTAGGCCTCCTGTTGCTGTTTGGTTTCTATTTTACTGCACCAATATTTAATATAGCTTAGTTTGGGGTGTAAACTTCAGTGTACAATAAGCAAAGCAAGCTTCTAATTATTTAACTAGAAATAACACAGGTCTGGCCCTGGCCATCTTGACCTACATTTTAAAACAGTTCTTGTCTGCCAACATATATAAAGGAAGTCAAAGACTGCAATTCATTTGCTACCAACATGACCATCACACTACTTAGATCATCATTACATGCCATTCTACGCTGATTTCTTTGTGTGCGGATTTGGCTACCACAGAATCATCAACTGACAGGATGCTCACATGATCTCTGCAGGGTCAGCATTTCACCCTGTAACTATATTATGGCATACTTTAATAAGGGTATCATTTTTAAAATCTTCAGAATAATTCATAGTTTAAGGGTTTTGAATTGAGGTACCCAAATAATGGTAGACTGCTGAAATTCTAATATAGTTTTTAGTGCATGTTTTCCATTTTCTAATTAGGCAGTCATAACATCTGTGAATAATAATCAATTTTCCTAATTTCTTTCAGTTTTTAAACTTATACTTTTTTCCTTTACGATCCAGTTTTTTAAACCATGCTAGTTAAAACTTCCAAAACAATACCAAATACCAGAGGCGAGTATACACATATCTGTCTTATTCCTGAACTTAATGGGATCTATTGATATACTTTTTCATCTGATGTGTTTCTGTTTGTCATGACAGGCTTTCTCAAACTAAGAAAGTTTCTTTTTATTTCTAGTTTGTGTTTTTACCAAAAAATTAATGCTCAATTTTGTTAATTCACTTTTTTAATTTATGGAAATGTTTTAACCTTCACTCAATTAACACAAAGAATTACATAAATCATCCTTATTTTCCTGTAGAGAAAAAAGGCCCTCTGGTATATTCTTTTAATACAAAGATTTACTTGGTTTGCTAGTGTTTATTTAGTGACAATAGACTACAGGTTTCCTTTTCATGAAATTTGTGTCCAGATTTGATAACTGTGTGAACCTCTGAAGGGAATTTGAAAGCTTTCATTCTTTTCTTCTGCTCTACAACAGTTTAAATGATAAGAAGTTACCTCCTCCTTTAAGGTATGCCAGAACTACTTGACCAAACCTTCTGGGCCTGGGCCTCTTTCATTAGACCTTCAGTGCCCTTTGATAACTTCTGCAGCTTTAGATTAACCCAGGGGTACCTAACTCCTGGGCCACAAACAGGTACCAGGTTCTATAGATTTTTATTTGCTGTCATGACTGGTCAAATGAAATCAGTGTAGGTGTTTCACAGTAAGAGCACTTGGTTCTACAGCAAGGGTTCTCAACCCCTGATCTGTGGCCTGTTAGGAACCCGGCCGCACAGCAGGTAGGCAGCAGGCCAGCATAGTTTCATTTGTACTTACAGCCAGTTCCCCATTGCTCACATTGCCGCCTGAGTGCTGCCTCCTGTCAGATCAGCAGCGGCATTAGATTGTCATAGGAGTGCAAACTCTGTTGTGAACAGTACATGTGAGGGATCTAGGTCACGTGCTCCTTATGGAAATCTAAGTCCTGATGATCTGTCACTGTCTCCCATCATCCCCACATGGGACCATGTAGTTGCAGAAAAACACTCCCAGGGCTCACACTGATTCTACATTATGGTGAGTTGCATAATTATTTCATTATAAATTACAATGTAATAACAGAAATAAAGAACACAGTAAATGTAACGAGCTCGAATCATCCCAAAAGCATCCCCTGACTCCGTCCATGAACACCTTTCACAAAACTGGTCCCTGGTGCCAAAAGGGTTGGGAACCACTGGTTTAACCAGTATTCTCCTGATTAAGACAACTGTGGGCAAATACAGTATTCTTTCAACTACCTGTCTGACAGTCAGTTGAATCTGACAGTCATACATATGTGTGTGTGCCACAACTGTTTGTTTCTCCCTACAATCTGGCTCAACTATTTCCTGACTGTATGTCTTTGGTAAGTTAAACTCCATGTGCTTTTAATTCCTACATCTGTGCAGTGGGGAAAATTACAGTATTTACTTAAGCCTGTTGTGAAGAGTGTGAGTTAACACATAGGAAGCACTTAGAACTATTCCTAGCCTACTCCAAGTTTCAACAAATGCTAACAATTCTTACTTGATTTTTCAATATAGAATAAAGTTACCTGTAACAATCATATACATTAAAATTACCCTCTGATCATTATTATATCCAATTCTTAACATTGCCCTCTTATGTTTTCTCTTTTTTCCCTAGCCAGATTTGCCAGAAGTTGATTATTTCACTAGCTTTTCAAAGAACGACATGGTTTTGTTTATCATATTCTTTTAAATGTCTTCGCTATGCTCACCTATTCAATTTTTCTTTCTCTGGCTTCCGAAATGAGTATTTAGTTCATTTATATTGAGCATTTCTTAATTTCTAACAAATATATGCTTGTCTCTATATAATACAATGTCCATATTCCATTGGATTTAATAAGAACTGTTGTCATTGTCATGTCTGTAACCTCGATTTTGATTTTCTCTTTAACCCAACAGTAATATGGTTCTATTGATTTTAACTCAGAAAAATCTAATAATCTGATTTTTACGACTTGGAATTTGTTAGGTTTTCTTTATGGCCTATTACATCATAATTCTATTAATAGTCTGTAGGCCTCTGCATAGAAAATGTATTCTTTGTATCCCTAGCTATAAAATGATGCTGTGTTATTCAAATTCTTTATAGCCTTAGTTAACAGTTTTTGCTTTAAACATTTCAATGCTAAATGTTGGTGGAAAAAGATTTGTGATCATCAAATCTACTCAATGGAGATTAGACTTTTATCAACATAAATTAATATTCTTGTCTCACTGAAGCATTCCTCACACTCCTTGGATTCCATATTGTCTGATATAAGGTGCTACTCTTTGCTCCTGTGGACCCAGTATTTATCTTTCACCAAATTTTTTTGCCCAGTATTAATTTCCCCCAATATTTTTATCACTTGCTTTAAATCATACAGAGCAAGACTTTTATGTTAAATCAATCTAGAAGCTTCCATCTTTTAGTAAGGAAAGAGTTAGTACATTATAAGTGTCATAATCTACCCAAATCTAAAATTCACTGGTTCTTTATTTAGCATAAAAAAAAAATCAGTTTGTCCCTATATTTACGAAGTACAACAAAATTGGGAGGTAGGTACGTAAGCAACAAAAAATATTTTACTAATTCAAAAAGAGTACTGTTTACATATGGTAAACCGCAATTTAAGATATTCCTACCAGGAGTGATGTATTTTCAAAATAACACATGGGTATAAAAGTTTCAGTTGTTACAACCAGGCTGCTACTAACAATAAACTTCTAGCACTGAGAAGCTGGTATGATTTGAAAGAACAAACCAGTTTTAGAGAGGCAAATGTATAAGAAGAGATGCAACCAGTAGAGATATACAGAACAAAGAGAGAGAGAGAAATAGGTGGGGAGCCTGAGAGGTTAAAATATAGAAGAGTTAGTAAAGAAGAAAAAAAAACCACTGTCATTACAAACGTTTACCAAAAAGCCACTAGGTGTTTAATATAAGCTACTGTGCCCTGTGCATAGTTTTACTTCTATTAACACTGAGCTGTAGCTATAAAAGTGATGTGTACTTCTAACAGTCTTCATTATTTCCCCAAAAGCTATTATTAAATTGATGTTATAATTAATAATCAACCTTGTCTAAGAATCAAGGAAATACAAATGATAGAGCATATTTATAAAAAGATTAAAAACACTTATAACAAGAATCAAACCAAAAGTTGTTTCAAAGAGTGAACTGTAGTGAGAGAATAAATGCCTAGCTTTGCATAAAAATATGACTTAGCAGAAATATCACTGCAAAACAAATAAGTCTTCTATAGAAATACCTGCTATCTTTCCAATTTCTAATTAATTAACTCTAAATACACTAATAAAGCGGCCTGCATATTGAACACCTGTGGCCACCAAGCTACTCTCGAGTCACACATTTTTGCTGCTGAGTTTGATGCTTACTAATAGTCAGTGTGTTTACTCCCAAGCCTATTTTATTACAGTTGTACTTATTTCTATAAATACATGAATTAGGTATTATATAAACAAGTTAAATATGAATCCAAACATAAAAGTTGCTACTTCTCAGAAAACTAGGTTGAATGCTTTAGAAAGGCAAGTTGCTTAAAAAAAAAAAAAAAAAAAAAAAAAAAAAAAAGTCATGTTCAACTTCAATGAGGTTGATGGGAAGAATTTATAGAAATATAAAAATATTCTGCACTCAGATTTCTTAGGAAGTTTAAGTTAACTACTCCACTAATAGGAAATAAAAACTGAAAGACTGAGATGATGCATCAGCGGCATAGTTATACACAAGCAATGGGGAGGAGCAGACACACTCAAAACCACCAAACCTCTAGGGTCACAGTAAAAGCTTGATGGATAAGTACAAGTCACATTTTGAGTGTTTTTTAAAGAAATGATTTCTAGCTGTAATACTTTTTTTTTTTTTTTTTTTTGAGACAGAGTCTTGCTCTGTTGCTAGATGCCAGGCTGGAGTGCAGCGGCAGCGATCTCAGCTCACTGCAAACTCCGCCTCCCGGGTTCAAGCAATTCTCCTTGCCTTAGCCTCCCCAGTAGCTGGGACTACAGGTGCACGCCACCACACCCAACTAATTTGGTGTATTTTTAGTAGAGATGGGGTTTCACCATGCCAGGATGGTCTCAATATCTCGACCTCGTGGTCCGCCCTCTTCAGCCTCCCAAAGTGCTGGGAATGCAGGCGTGAGCCACCGCATCCGGCCTAGCTGTAATACTTTTTAAGTTTACAGAGAACTACCAGTCCTCATTGGATAAGAGGTTTCTAATGTATAGTAAATTTATTATTCAATTTCTTGGCAACGTTAAACCCTGCTGTGTGTTTCCTTCAAGATTTTATTTTACACATTTAAAAGATAAAGAGAACATCTTAACACAAGCCAGAGAAAACAGGAGACACAATTAGAACGATGAGTTCTAATTGTTAGAAACAACGTAAGACAAGACAATGGAATTACAGCCTTAAAGTACTGAAAGAACAGAAAAGAAATCTATAGTGAGTGAAAATGTGCTACCAAAGTCAAGAAAAGTTTTACATTTTCATATAAACAGAAGTTGAATTCATTGCCAGCAGATCTGTACCAAATTCTTCCTCAAAAGAGCATGTTGGAATGCAAACAGTGTGACATTCCTATACCCATAAGCTCTAACCCCATCTAATTTTAACATTTAATTTAAAAGAAATAGTAAACTTCAGTCATTCATTGCTACAAAATATTTTTACATACTTCACAACTACCATGACACAGGAGGGCCACCCTACAATATGTGAGTAACTGCTGATACATAACCTAATGCTGGAATATGGTAAAGAAAAAACTATTTATCTCATTCTTGAACAAACTTACCTCTTTGTTTTGGAAAAATCAGTTCAGGATGCTGTAAAATAAATTAATAATGTATTATATAATTACCATAATGTATAAAAGTGAAATTTAAAAAATAGTAATTAAGTTAACTACCTTCATTACTGGCCTGGCTTCTTTCTCAAACAAACCACTTGGGAAAAGGTAAGCAATAGCTTTCTGAAAATATATACAAAGGTTAGTTAACAACTGTTAAATAAACAAGGTTAGAACTAATAGTTATAGAGTGCTTTCTATATACTGAACATTGAACTAGAGTTTCAAAGCATTATCTTATTTCATAATTGTTTAAATGGGATGATAAAATTGCTACACACACACCCAAAAAGAAAAAAATTTAACTATTAAACTGGTTATTGACAAATTTCAGGGGTCAGTTTTAAACATGTCATTCCGTGAATATGAAAGCACAAATAATCTCTCTTTTATTTTTAAGGGATCACTTGGAGGTGCTCCTGTCCAGCTTCCGTGGAAATGTCCTTAAGAGCACTTGTTCCAGCTCCCAGCTGGTCGTACCCATATCAAAGCGCAGGCTGTAAGGAGCAGGCTCTAAGTCTCACCCACCATGACATCCCTGATGTTTTTAGATGTTCTTTCAACTTTTTCCAGAGTTTTTAAACTACACTCTTTCCAAACAAGTTCTTCTTACATGTCTGTTTTTCAACAGGGATGCTACTGGCATTTTAGGTATAACAACTCCCATCACAGGCATCCTTCCCCCTTACTGAGGCATTTAACATTCCTGGTTTTTCTACAGTAGACACCAGTAATACCCAGTGCTTGTAACAAATATCACCCCCACACCTTTCCAAATGCCCCCACGTCCTAGGGAGCAGCACTGCCTCCTAGCTGTGAACAATTGCTTAAGCCTTTATAGTGTCTTCTCCAACGCCCTGCCTCACAATTAACAACAAAATATACATTTTCCTTCTTGTTGAACAGTGCCAGATGAAGTCTATAGCCTGGGATCCTGTAGTGTATTTAAATACACTTCTACTCATTAAGAAAGCTTGTTCTGAGTGGGCTTTCTCTGTCCACCCACACAGTAAATGTGCTGGATTATGCCCCCAAAAGGAACAGAAAGGAGAGGCCTGCAATTTGGGGGTACAAATTCAATCATATTAGGGACCCTAATCGTGTCTCTGGGTCAAGCTTCTTTCTCTCATTCAGCATTTTTCAGAACAAAATTACACTTAAAAAACCTAGGTCAGGCACAGTGGCTCATGCCAGTAATCCTAGTGCTGTGGGAGGCAGACGTGGAAGGATAAGGCCAGGTGTTATAAACCAGCCTGGGCAACATGCTTTGCCACTCAGGCTGGAGTACAAAATAAACAAACAAATAAAAAATGTAGATCAAACATCAGTGTGCCCATTTAGCAAACTTTTTTTGTTTTAACCAGGTCTCTCCCCACAGCCCCTTCCTTCACTGCAGGGAAAAAAGGTAGACTTTTCTTTTATTGATACACAGGACCTCACTCTGTTGCTCAGGCTGGAGTGCAGTGGCACAATCTCGCTCACTGCAGCCTTACCCTCCCAGGCTCTAGTAATCCACCACAGTGTCAGGAGTAGCTGGGGCTATAGGGTCACATCACCACACCCAGCACTTTTTTTTTTTTTTTTTTTTGTAGAGACAAGGTTCTCACCATGTTGCACAGCCTGGTCTTGAACTCCTGAGCTCACATGATCCTCCTGTCTTGCTCTACCAGTATTGGGATTACACACATGAGCCTTAATAAGTGATACTGCAACTGACTGCCATTTGGAAAAAGACTCAACTGAAATCCAAACTTCACAACATACAGCAGAGTAAACTCCAAATGAGTGAAAGGGCTAAATATACAAAATAAAAACAAATGAATACTCACATACCACATGGGTGAATTCTTATCTAGCTAAAAAATGGGAAAGTGTTTCATAACTATGATTCAAAATTTCTAAGTACATTTTTAAAAAAGATTGACGAATTAAACTATATTTTTAAAAGAAAAATATGACTCATAATAAGGTAAGTGCAATTAAAACTCCTGAGAGAACACTTTTCATCTAATAGGACTAGTGAAAGTTCAGAAGTCTGACGGCACACAGTTGGTGAGGCCACCTTGCTGGGGGGAGTGCCGAGTTCTATAATCTCTTCAGCGAGAAGGTAGGGGCTTTCTAACAAAACTACGTATTTATTTCCCTAGTAATCTGACTTCGATGAATTTACCCAGAAGATACACCCCTATGAATATAAAAGAACACAAGCACATGTTATTCACTGAATTATGAGGACAAAATATTGAAAACAACCAAAGTCCCATACACATGAGGTTGGCTGAATAAATGACGGCTCATCTGTGCAATCGAGTACTATAGAGCTGTAAACAGAGAGAGAAAAGCCAAGATGCAAAAGAAATGTACCTAGAATGCTGCTTTGGTGTAAGAAATAGAAAAAGAAAAGGCATATAAATATAGGAGGAAAATACACATAAGCTTCTTTTTGCAAACATAAACACAAGAAAGGTAAGGAGAAACCAGTAAAAATCATCTCTCAAGGGCTGGGTGGGAGCAGAGGGAGGAGCACAGGGATGAGGGCAAATTCCTCTGGGCATTCCTTCATATAGGAATTTGTAAACGCCCTACAAGAGATGGAAAATTTAGCCCAAAGAATGGAAACTCAGTTTGGTCAATTTTTTGATCATGTGATTGTGAATGACAGCTTGCAAGATGCATGTGCCCAGCTGTTGTCTGCCATACAGAAGGCTCAAGAGGAGCCTCAGTGGGTACCAGCAACGTGGATTTCCTCAGATACTAAGTTTTAATGAGACTTCCCATTGGATGCTAGAGTTTTAACACTGTACCCTTGTCACAGCCATCTCCAGCTGCAATCTAAAATGGCAGTATTTGACCCATTATAATGTGTACGACTTTAAAAGTGAAGCAGTTTATTAATCTTATTTGAAAAAAAATTTATTGTATGGTTATGTAGTTACCTACAGTATTTGGCTATTAATTTTTTTTTCCTTTACCTCATGTGAAGCTGTGGTAGAAATACAAATAATGTTAAGACACTGAGCCGGGCACGGTGGCTCAAGCCTGTAATCCCAGCACTTTGGGAGGCCGAGGCGGGTGGATCATGAGGTCGAGAGATCGAGACCATCCTGGTCAACATGGTGAAACCCCGTCTCTACTAAAAGCGCAAAAAATTAGCTGGGCATGGTGGCACGTGCCTGTAATCCCAGCTACTCAGGAGGCTGAGGCAGGAGAATTGCCTGAGCCCAGGAGGCGGAGGTTGCGGTGAGCCGAGATCGCGCCATTGCACTCCAGCCTGGGTAACAAGGGCGAAACTCCGTGTCAAAAAAAAAAAAAAAAAAAAAAAAAAAGACACTGAGTATGAAACTTTTGCAGATTTCACATGATCTTTTAAAATTCAAATAAAGAACTTTTCTAAATAAAATAAGCAATATTTAATTAAAAAAAAAGTTTGCAAATTCCTCTGGGCATCCTTCATATACTCTGAAACATGTACATATTTATATATTAAAGAATATTTCCAAAGAAACTCTAAAAATATAACCAGAAGCAAATAAATATTATTTCTAATGACAACAAAATAATTGCAAAGAAATCTTCATCTTTACTTGGTAGGCTTACAGTCAGTCATAACACTGATATTATAATTCTGAAATATTTTATGTATACTGCATCATAAAGCAAATAAGTAAATATATTAATTTTATGGAGACCAATATTTTATTGTAGAAGAGACACAAACACAAAAGGGAAAACCCTATAATGTTAAGTAATAAATTCGTATCTTTGAAAAGTATTTTCTGTAATATTCCAAAAATATTATTTCCTAATTCTGTTCCCTGCAAAAGCATAAAGCAATGAAACTTTAGGAGCAACAGGAGGGTCAACTGGTTTCTACAAACAATTTCCCAGTATAAGGAACCAAATACCTTGGAGAAATGGCTGATTCTAGACATAAGGCAGACAAAGCACAAAATTAGTCTGAGACATTCTCACTCTCTCTTTCTGGAGATAGTGAGATCCCATTTCAACAAGAACAAAAAAATTTTAAGAGGTGGGCTGCCACATGACTGTGGTCCCAGGTACTCAGGAAGCTGAAGCAAGAGGATCACTTGAGCGCAGGAGTTCAATGCTGCAGTAAGCCAGGACAGTACCACCACACTATAGCCTAGGTGATGGAGCAAGACTCTGTCTCTAATAATAAAAGAATAATGATAATGCTTCACAACACACTCAATATGTGACATGCACATTCATGTGCACACACATGTGTACACACACACACACACACACACACACACATACACACACTCTAGGGAGGAGGGACAAGAAGAAAAAGAAAGCTACTTTACAGAACAATGTGCTATAAAAGTAAAAGGAATGGCAGAAGTAGAAAATCACCATTTTACAACTTCCGAATTAACCTTCAATTTCAGGAAAGGATCACCAACAAATGCAAAAGCTACTGGCTTTACCAGAGAACAGAAAATTCACATGAACTCAAAATATTACTCTACAGATTGGTTACAAAAGGAAAAGACTACTTTTACAATAAAGAGGTCTAGTGGTCACCACTGTAACCAAGGGATGTGCCATCATCATCAACAGTACCTCTTAGACTTTGTGCATGCAATGAGAAGTATACAATATCACCTAAGTCATATCCTTTACACATTCTAAATCGATCATGAGAAAGCAAGCAGAAAGCCAGGATGTGACATGACTGTACAAGATAAGTGGCCTGAATTCTATAAAACAACTACTCAGTTATAAAGACATTTTGGGGAAAAGAGGAAAATTTCAAGAAAACTATATATATGGCATATAGAATTATTATAATTGTATCAGATGTGATAATGATATTGTGGGAGATAATGGTATGAAGAATGAATGTATGCATTTAGGGGTTAAGTACATGCTGATGTATTTAGGGGCTAAGTTTAACATGTGCAGTTTTCAATGGATCAGTAAAAAATGTTTTACACATACAAAGACACAGAAAATGTGGCAAAATGTTAAAATCTGGCAAATCTATGTGAGGGGGGTATGTGTTAATATTTATTCAATGAATATTCAACTTTTCTGGAAATGTGAAAAGTTTCAAAATAAAAAGGTGGGAAAAACGTTAAAAATTTAAAAATATGTAA